CAGTCAGTCAATCAATCAATCAATCAATCAATCAGTCAATAAATAAAAAGTTCACTCCTATATTCCCTAAATGCTGCATACGTTTTTCCCTTTTTATAACATTCTTTAAGTTCTAAACCCTCCTCCTTGCCCTTTTGAGAGTAGCGAACCATTAAAAAACGACTAACAACAACACAGGTACATTTATGGTGTAAATAAGTGCAGCCAGAGTGCATCAATTAGTCATTTATTTCAACTTTCGTCAATACTGATTTGTTCAACATTGCATACAAGTCTTCATGAGACTCCAATGGCTTCTTGACCTATTTCAAAACTAAAAAAGAAACAACGTTAACATTTACCTGTATTTTTGCTGGGCCACCACTTCCATCTCTGCAATTTTAATAAGTAAACAATAACATTATCATCCAGCCACATAGAAATGACGTTAGTTATAGTTAGTAATAGTAATATCTATTTATTTATTTCATACATTACATTACCCTTGATTTATATAGTGCTATTTTCGAGCCTACAAGCAAGCAATGCCACGCGAGTGCGCAATGGCTAAGCTGGCTAAATACTTTCAGAAAAAAGTCCACAAAACAGTGCTAATTACATGCCTGGACAATTTACATCTGGCATGTAAGATATACTGTATAATGCCTCTTCTTAACACATATGATATAAGTTCTTTTAAAAAGATGTATGTCTGGGTGATTTATTCAGACAGGAAGACTAGAGGAGTTAAACATCAGTATTGTTAATTTATCAGTAGTTGTTTATTACGTGTATAACATCTCCCGGTAAGCACATGCATTGGTGATTGTTGCCGGCTATATTTCAGTATACTTCCCTAACATGCTCCCTTTCCCACGTGCCAATTAACCTCTGAGATAAAAAAAAAAAAATACTAGCCTCATACTCTCAGTCCATACTTAACGTTACAGATTCTCATTTTCCCCATTGATTTATGGTCAATGCACTTCACACAGAGGCCATAAATCAATGGCAAAAAACTTGGTCTGTAACTCACAGCACATAGCTTGAACTCAATTTGTACATAATACAGCAGAACCCCAGTTTATAATAAAAACCACCCCTGGGCAAACTTGCTATTACACTGTCTGATAACATTCTATTTGGTCAAAAAAAGAAGTGAACATCTTGCAGTGGCTTTGGTGTACATTTGTTGCATCTTTTCCAGGTATTCATTTACGGAAACAATGTTATCTTCCAGACAGTTTCATGCTCTCTTAAGGCGTAGTTAAATAATCTATACAGGTGTATCACTTCATCTCGCAACTAACTTAAGGTAAAAAAGTAAGGTAAAAGGCACACACGAGCCATTAAAGGCCCACAAACAGCAGGAGCTTATTCTGGTTTCCTTAGAATGAAGCATGCCTAGGAGTATTGCTACTCCCCCCTGGCCGGGATGCTAGTCAATCACAGGGCTACCCCCCCCCCCCCCCCCGGCACGGCCCCAGTGACCCCTTTTCACCCCCCGGGGGTAGAGAAAAAAAGGGGGGAAGATGTCTTTTGCTAAAACAAAAAGGAGGGAGGGGGGGGACACCCCCGCACCCCACACACACCGGTGGTGGGGGTAAGCACCCCGCCCCCCCCACCCCCACTCCCCCCACCCAAAACAACAACTGGACAACAACAAAAA